CAATAGCCCAATCGTGGTATTATTAATGCGACGTGCGTTTAAATTAATGTGATTTAGACGCGAAACATTGCATGTTCCTGTAGTAAAAGCGTTCTACTTTGTTGCAGTCTTCTTCTGCTAAGAGATATTGGAATCCTGCAGCGCTTGCTGCAAACGCAATGGTCGGTTCAGATAACTGAAGTAAGTATGCTTTTACTAGCTTGATTGATTATAATAATTAATTTAAACGAAACATATCTTTTCTCTCTATACCTATCTATCTATCTTAAAGTTCATTGTTATCAAGATATCTGTAATCAGTATTAGTATTTGTTATAAATAATCGAAATTAATAAGTAAATCGGTTTAGGTAACCATTTGAGTTGCGCGAAGTAGCAAATACGTTATTCCATATTTCAAATCTTTTCTGTTTCTTCTCAGATCTTCTCAGATCTTCCATATTTCTGTCTCTCTCTGTCTTTCTAACTGTTGTTTGTAAACTTAATCTTAGCATTATGTGGATTGATGGAGCGAATAAATCGTGTCTGTAGGAACATGGTTAAGCAAGTACGTCGTTTATTTTTTGATAGTTTTGTTATAATTATACGCCATATATTATATATGTGCAGAGTACCTGACATAAAATGTCCCATGTACATATAAGATGAATACAAATTTCCCTACCATCTTATAAACAACAAAATGGTGGAGAACTTCTTGATTTACTCATTTGCTTTATCGTATTTGAGAATTGTTCGAATGATGTTTGAATGTAAATCCGTCGTTGATTACAGAGAAAATCATCATGGAAGTCGGTCGAGATCGGCGATATAGTACCGCTAATACTTCTCATGATCGCAGCATTGTTCGTCAGCTGCGTTGTCCAGATCTTAGAACACGTTGTCTACAAGTGTTTTCTGAAACGGAAGCTATTAACGATTAATAAAAAGAAATAAACATGTAAGTGGAATGTTGCGTTGTTATATTTTTGTTTAATAAAACTCGACGGATCTCTTAGTTGTTTAATATTGATTATATGCTATTGTTTTACACAGCCCATTTTACGGTCTGGTATAGATAGCAAATACGTTATTCCGTATTTCAAATCTTCTCTTACTCTCTCTCTGTCTCTCTAACTGTTGTGTTTGTAAACTTAACCTCAGCATTGCGTGGATTCGTAGACCGAATAAGTCATGTCTGTAGGAACATAGTTAAGCAAACATTTTTTTTGAATTCTATATTAGGAGGTTTATATGCCGAAGTTCTTATTAGCTTCGTTGAGTCTGGTTAGAGGAACAAAGGACTTGAGTCCAAAAGGTCTTACGACATTTATCGTCGTTGAAACATTAATTTATATCTTTTCTGGAGAGAGAGAGATTTGTAATTCTTCCCATCATCAGGTTAATAATTGACACTTATATATATATATATATATATATATATATATATATATATATATATATATA